AGTCCTTGATTAATTTAAGTTTACTCAAGTTTTCATAATGCTTTACTTACATTTTTAAAGGCAACCACTTTACTCTATTTTTTTAAGTAGATTCAACTTATCCGGGCTTACAGTGTAGGTAAACGAGGTTGACAGTTGCATCGTGACACAGTTGTGTNGTTAATTTGCTATATACAAACAAACAAACAAAGTGTGCAATCCAATGAATGTTAATCTAACTGGGTTTTGATAGATAACATATCTCTTTTTCTTCTCTGAATTATTTTATTTATTTTGTGCACTCTAATCAATATTAATCAAACTATTGTTCGTTTATACATTTTAAGAATGGCGTTTATCTTTTTTGAGAATTAGTTCTTATTTTATTTTATAAATAGGCAGGCTCCCATGCAAGTGAGGGACGCAAGGATTCCATTTAACCGAAGTGAGAAGGACCCAATGATTACGCAGTCCGTTCAGGAGACGCGTGGCTTGGCAGGAAGTCATTGGCTCAGTATGGGCTTCCTGCCTCTGCCTCCGTTTAAAATAAAAACACTTAGCAGAGAGGGAGAGTTCAGCCTCTCTCCATACAGGACGGAGGTACAGTAGGACATCCTCCTCTATTGACAGTCAGGAAGCTATTAGACTTTGTGCCAAATGCGAAGAAGGAGAGGGGCAGGATGGGATTTGTAGTCTTAAAGAAAAAACCTTTTGAATCAGTTTCTTTTGGGAAGAAACTAATTAAAGTGACCCTATGCACGTTTCAACAACAAAATAACACATTATTTTTGTATTCATATTTACATTTTATATCATATAGAATTCTAAAATGATAATTTACTCAGGTCTTAATCTTGGACAACAGTAATTTACTCAAATGTAAATGTGAAAAAAATACAGACAAAGTATACACGTTTAAATAAATTCATTTATTTCTGTATGTTGCTATCCATAATCAATACAGACAAAAGCAATACTGGACTACCAGAATTTAAAAATCATTATAATCATCTCTTGTGAGCATCACAATAAACAGTATATTGAATTATGTACAATGGAAGACAACGACACATTCAGACTGAGTGAAGATCAATCTGATTCTGTCCATGGACACAGAAATGGGGAAAGCGCTTGGAAACATGTCAAGAACAAAATTCCCAGCGACAAAAATAAAAACACTTGGCAGAGAGAGAAATGTACAAGGAGAAAAGCAGCTTCTGCTCGCAATAAAAAGAAAAAAAATCATCAATGCAATGTTACATTTGGTTCCACGGTTGTAAACTAGATTGTATTCATGTCACTATTGCATATGCCATTGGGGTAAAGTGTGTCAACAAGGCAAAGAGATCTCTTTAATAAAATAGACAGTATATTTTCATATAGTCACTGAGACTGTGAGGGAGAAAAGCATACAATAACCTGTACAACCCAGAAGAAAAACCCCCATTTGAAAAATCTGTAGCCAAAGTCTTTACACAGGAATATCATTGCAACATAAAATCTAAGTGTATTTTCAATAGATTGTTTTAGTCAAACTGTTTCTATGTACAAAATATATACCTTCAAGAATCTGCAGATAAATAAAACTTAGCGTAGTAGCTCCAATATTATTCAACTCTGTCAAAACCGTTGTCCACCTTGTGTTTGTGTGTTGTTCCCACCAGTTCAGAGATACATTCAGACATGGTTTTCATTTTTACAATCTGCTGTACACTAAAGAGGTGGTGAGCCGGTTGGAATCGGCACAGTGGATGACGCAAACACTACAATGTGAGGAGAGCTTAGAGGGCTTTCAGATAATATTAACCCACTGGAGGCCATTTTGGAGTTTGTATACATTTTGACTAATCATTTCTCTTTAGAGCACAATGTTTGTTCAGATTAATACAAAGACTATGACGTTTAAAGGAATTTAGCATCAATAAAGCACACCGTCGCTAGGCCTTTGACCAGTTGTTAATAGTAGCCTAACTAATGACAGCTAAAGTGTGCCATTATTTAGCATTGTCCTGACATTGTTAAATAGTTGTCACTTCGTGAAATATATTCTTGCTTTAACTTGTAACATTTTATCATTATTTTCAGCCTGATCAAACTATTTGCTGTCAACTGCAATTCAGATATTGTTAAAACAAAATATCTGACTAAACTTGTTTCTCCAGTAAATCTCCCTGTTGGTGCCAGATGTGGCCTCCCTACTTTTACTTTTTTTGTGATTGTCCCGCACTGCCAACCCCTTTTCCCCTTACTTTAGCCCTCGTTGGATGACCAGAAAACGTCTCGGCTGTGCCCCAACCCTGACAGTTTTCATTGGCCCTTCGTCGTCACTTTAACTATACAGTTGTACCGTCAAAATATATCACAGCAGGGTGTCCTGCATTTTGCTCAACAGCAGTCAATAGGTTTGAAGGTAGGAGTGTGTGAGGTTTTCAGGCTCAAGTGAGGAACTGTGGGAGGAACAGTGCAATCAGATGCCTGGTGTTGTGGGGTCTGAGCTGAGTTACAAACACATGCATAACTCTTAAAGACATTTAGAAATATATTTCTGTAAGTCCAGCGCTTTGATTGGACAAAAAATAAACTAGGTTAGAATAAATAAGAAATGTGTCATTAAGAAAATACTTTAATATCCATAAGATAAATCAGATGTCAAGCAGCCCCAATGTACTGTATATTTCTGAAATCATATTTTAAGCTAAATGTCCACAATAGAATAACAATATAGAGGTCCAAACAGACACACTGTAATATAATATGTATCTCTTCTCTCATAGAAAACATAAGGACAATATAGACATTAAGGCATTGGGTAGGTCTTATCAAACATTCATCTACCAAAAATAAATAACATATCTCATCTAAATATAGTTATATAAGTGTACCTTGGTATCTTCGCTCCCTGGGCCATTTGTATAGTAGGTTTCGTTTTCCATTGTCATACAGGTTGGTCGTAATTTGTCTCAGGAACACACTCGCACTCATACAGGCAGTCATAAAACTAACCTCAAGTAAATAAATAGTATCAGGGTACCATTCAACTATTTTTATATTCTGACTATCTTTGCTTCTGTGCTTGCGCCACAATGTGGGTCACGTGAAAAATGGCCTCTGAAAGCGCAGTGAACATTAGACACACCAACACACACATCCGCCCACACACACACACACATACATGAGCACACCTGTGTTGCCTCCAGCGAATTCATGACATGCATAGACGATGACCTGCTTGTTTCGTAAGTGTGTGAGAGTGATGCTGAGGGTCCAGACAGTCTTTTAGGGCCCAGTGGTAGGGCAAAGTCGATTTCTTGTTTCCAGCAGCAGGTTGGTGAAGACGCCAAGTCAGAGGACAGACGAGACCTTCAGTCTGAAAGAGGGGAAAAGAGGGAGTTAGTGGAAATATCTTGTGATTATAAGTATAACACTTTTTGGCAAGCTTAAATGTCTACTTTCTAATTGTAAAAGAAAAATGGTCTGATTATTTTCCAAAAAACAACACTTGTGCCAACAATGCAGAGCTTTGAGACTGCAGACATGAGAGAACAGTCTACTGTACAGTGTGAACCCCTTCAGATTAGCTTGTGCCACAATAACAAGGAGACACTGGAACACGCAGCTCGAATAACAAGAACACAGTGTGCTGCACAAACAAGTACCATAGGACGGATTTGAGACGTGTGAAATGGTTTGTTTTTAATGTTCATTATGCTGATATTTAGTCTGATTTCTTATTTCATGTGTACAAGTTTGATGGTAGGTGTCATGTCTTTACACACCAGCTGTTTGTTGCCACTTAAAGGACGGCAGGGGGGGGGGAGGCTGGAAGTGGGAAGTTGGAAGTGGGAAGCTGGATGGCAACGGTCGTTATTACATAATCTGGGATGTAGAGCAATGGGGGGTGGGGGTCTCCTGTCGCGCTGCCGTGTTGCTATGGACACACAGTGAGCGGAGGAGAACCAGTACATGATGCATCTCTGATATTATACCGAAACTGAGGGTGCGTTTATAGTGGAATTTATAATTATGAAGGATGAGGAAGAGGGGTTGTGAAAGCAGAACGGAGGAAGGATTTAGAGTGGAGGGGATGGGGGAGGGGCACTGGGTCAACTGGAAGCTGGGCTAATGGTTAAAAGGTGAGGGAAAGGGCCCCTTACTTCCACGAGGACAATATGCTCCATGTGTCATGAAACCACACGAGGATTGCATGGTTGTATTGAGGTTTGGAAACTTCTATCAGAGTAGGGCTGATGAAACTCTTACAAAAACAGTTGGATAACCTCAAAAATGAGAGGCGGTTGGGCTGAAAGCGAGGCTTTTCTTAGTAACAGAAAAGTTGCCATTTTTGGAGCTCGGAGTCAAGCAGTTCTCATCTAAGAAAATAAGTCTTAATGCCTATTTCTATTCTAAACAATTATAAACAGAGGAGAGTTGAGGACACTATGCAAAGTGAATCCCTGTTTCTTATAAAATGTACTATTAAAATGCATATACAAAGATATTACTCTATTTATCTTATGATTTTCTAGCCAATTTCTATGCAGGTTTCTGTCGCAATTACGCTGACCTGAGATCTGGACAGGATAAACACACCTTGTGTTACGTATTAGCCAGCTGCTCCCCGTGGAGTAGCTGCTGATCTACCCCATGCCGTCTAATCTCGCCACAGAGGCTGTAATCTCATCTGGAGCCGTGGCTGGCTAAATGTGGGGAACGCTGGCCACGCAGTTATCTAGCAGCTAGCGCTTCAGTCTGGAACATCCCGGCCTACTTTAGCCCCCCTCCTCCCCGCGCCACGACACACACAAATACACACACACACACTGGCTGGAAACTCTGACTGCGGTGTTACGTGTGCACGTTTGTTCTCGATATATATCAAGTGACATGGCATTTCTGGATTTCCTGCCTTGGCTTTTTTGCTATGTTATGTTTGAGAGATCTCAGATTCAACGCAGGTCTGACGCAGATTGTAATAAAGTATTCAACAGCTGGTGTGTGTGTGTGTGTGTGTGTGTGTGTGTGTGTGTGTGTGTGTGTGTGTGTGTGTGTGTGTGAGTGTGTGTGTGTGTGTGTGTGTGTGTGTGTAAGCAGGGCTGGATTGAACAATCAGGCTGATGGATGGTTGAAATCAGGTGTCACTTTTACGCTAATGCCAGAACAAAATGTGCCAGCTAGAAAATGAAGCCACAAAGTAATCATGTTGGCCAAATTCCAAAAGTGGAAAAAGTAGAATCAACGCATTCCTTATGCCAATGTCAAAGTCTACAATTTGGTCTACAAAATGTAAAAAAATACCAGGATTATGTCATTTAAATCCCTGTGCTTCTACTGAGCATGCTCAGAGCGAGTTAGGCATGCATGGCTGTACAGCTAGACCCCTTTCGCTCGCTGCACCCTCTAACATCGTAACGCACACGCACATCATACAGAGATATACATGCTCCGGGTGCATTGAGATCCGGGATGACATCACTCACAATACTACTGACTGGATGGCGCCGAGAGGGAATGGGATTTATGGAGAAGGACACGAATGCTTCTAATCTGGCCGATAAATTACACACACACACACTCATAGATGATGCCGATGGTCATGCTCTGCGCAGCCTGTGGGTGCGGCAGATGGCGGACAGTCATTAGTGGAGGGATAGTGAGTAGGTGTGGATGTGTGTGTGTAGGAGAAAGAATTATATGTTAAAGTATTAGTGGAAGGGTAATGGGTAATGGGCTTACATGTATGTGAAGACAAGGCAGATTGGCAGGTGTTTAAGGCTCCATTTCCACCCCATGTCCCTCCAAAGTACACACACTCACATCAGAGAGTGGCCATCTGCCACATGCACTCAGGAAAGGCCCCTGCATTCTTGGTCCCTTTATCCTTACTTAACTCTACTTCTTCCCTTACTTCTAGGGCTGCTCGATGTTCCAATACAAAATAGTTTTTGTTAAAATTGAGATCAAGAATATTAAACCCTATTACTAATTGACCAAATAATAATAATACAAAGAAAAAGGTAAAATTAAAACAATATACTGATACTGTGAATATAACTGAAATAAAAAAATTAAAATGTTTTAGAAAATAAATAAACACATGTAATTAATAAAAAACCTAAATGTATATTTAAAAAAATATAAATGTATAGAATAAAAATAAAAATCAACAACACTATGTTATAACACCTACAGAAAACTCCTTAGATTAATGTTCAATATAAAAAATATAAGGAATATAGCAAAAATGATATCAATTATGTTGCCACAACTTACTGAAAGCTCCTAGCAAAATCCCCCATCCCTATCTTACACCTGCTATGATGATGATTATCAACACGCCTGGTAAAAGGCAACTCTCATATGCGAGTGTAAGCGTAGTAAAAATCATCTCACATTGCAAATCAAGCTTCTTGAATTGTCAGAGGGAAGATAAAGGTATTAGCTGGATGTGGGCCGTGGAAACAGAGACGGCTGACTCGACTAATCTGAGTCTGGTAAAGAACATCCACCTGGCTGAGCCGCGGCTAGCAGAGACGACGGCTCAGGTTAGGGCAGAGGTAAACACTACCTCTAAATCACACTCAGACAGAATAACAGGTAAACAAAAAGCTGACTTGTACGCCAGGCATTAAGACATCTAATCTGACTGGAGTTGGAGCACCAAAAGAACGTAAAGCTCCAGGGTTATGTGACCAGGAATGCAGTCACGGGCGTCATATGGGGGGGGGGAAATTCCAAGGGGCATTTGATTGTTTTGGTTGCACTTTGATCCTGACAAACACTCGCCTCAAGAGCTGCAGCATTCCATTAGAAGTTCTCATTCCAGCCAATTGCCTGCGAGGGTCGGACGGGGAAGGAATGAAAAGCTGCAGACTTTTGGGTCTGGATGGCACATGTTGCGGGGGTGGGGGGGTATAGCTTCACCTCCTGAAAACCCAAGCGGTGCACTTTGAGCTCCTTCACCCCGCTTCGTCAGTAAACAAGCACCTTGGTTGAAAGGGGCCCACCGATGACTTTATTTGTTTCTTGAACAAAAAGCCCCTCCACTGCTGCATCCCCCCCTTCTCTGCTTGTCTTACTTCTGCTAAGTGAACAGCCTAATGAGGCAGAATGGCAGTGGAGTGCACGTGCCATCCTGCCCCATTATGCACGCTCTCCCACAAACTGGAAAACAAATACAGGCCACTCTCTTTGCACATCCCCGCCAAACTGTTCACTGATGCAGGCTGGAAAAAAAGAAGGGGACAAAAAAAGAGGCTCCCTGTGAGGAAAACACACCCCGACTGCTCTGCATGCGTACGTGCTACAGTCCACATGTATGTGCTCGACTCAGACCCTCCCACTGCTTACTGGAACAACTTTACAAGACCACAAAGATATTTGGACTCCATTGCAAATATGAGTACAGAACACATACAAACAAACAGATGGACACAGGGGCCATTATTAAAGCCTGTTTAACTTGAAAACAGCCAATTGCAACAAACTGAATTACCATTCTGTAGTGGCTGTTTTTCTTCATCCCTGAACAATTATAACAACTTATATAACCTTTTCCTGCTCTAAATGAAACCTAATATAACTTCTCCCTATACACAGGGGCCATGTGTTGAAATAAAAGCCACTTCCTATTCAAATAGCCTGGAGCCGGGACAAAAACAAGCCCCCTCTCGCAGCCACTTTTCAAACACGCTCAGCCAGGAATGTGCACCGTGACATCCAGTTACCTGATGGCCGCATAGCAACTCGCCCACTTTGTTGTTCTCCCTCACTGCCTACAAGGACACAAACACATATCCACTTGTGCTGGGCCTCACATTTCAGCGTAAACCCCCTGCCCCCCCCCCNCCATTCTCTTTCTCCTACCCCCCCTCTACTTGCTCACAAACACATGTGAGTTCACTGTGTGCCTGTTAAATGGCGAAGGGTCAAACGTGGCTTTAATGTCAACATTCTGCTGTTCCTGATTTGTTTACAACGTCTGCTATCCCACGCCGCAGCGGTTCCCTGGGATATTCTGGGACACTATTGATTATGGGATGGTGGGAAACACGAGGTCCATGGAGGTCACATTGATGTGCAACACATCCTAAAGCCTACCCAACTGAAAAAACAACAGCCGGAAATGCCAGAGGCCCCGTTAGCAGACCTCACTAATAGTTGTGTTTTATGAGGAATCTATCATTCCTCTCATTCACAATAAGCGTTGGTGGAATCCAAATATCTGCTTGTGTATTTATAGTGTGTGCAGAGGCAGCATCCGGCTCTGTGCTGTCGTGGGGCTTGTTTACTTCAGAGCTCTCAGCCTGGTCACGTTTCCTAGCAGCCTTCTGCTGCGTTCACATGTTGTGGGAAAATACCAGATATAGAAGGAGCAAAACAATTGAAAAAAGGTGTGATTGATTGCAACTAAAATCAGAAGACTTCCTTTTGATACTACATGGTTGTTCAATCGCAGAGAATAGTACTCGGAAGTAGGAGCTTAGGAGGAGCTCCTAAAGGCTGCGTCAGCACCACCTACGTACGTACTTTGAAATCCACACAGCCAGTTTGAATTTGAATCTGGAGGAAGGACAAGATTGCATGCATCATTGTTTTTCCTTTTGGCTCTTAACTGTACAGTGCAGCTTTCTTTTCTTACAGCAAAGCCAAACTGACTTCTGTTTAAAATAATGGAGCATTCCAGCTAGAGTGGGGATAAATTATTCAACAACAACACATCTGACAGCAACCTCACTCACCTTTGGCAGTGGTTGCGGCCTCCTTGAATCCCAGACACACATACGGGGAGCTGTGTAATCCATTGATGCCCCCTTTGCAGCTGCTGGTGGGTTTGAAGCCAGCCAGGCCCTCACATTTCTCCACGTCCCTGTTGTCCAGCAGGTTCAAGGCAATGTAGTTCAGTCCGTTAGCATACCCGGCCGAGCTCTGCCGGTTCACGGGGCTGTTGCCGTACTCCTCGTCCGACCCCTCGCTGCTCCGGGACGAGATGTTCTCCACGGAGCTGTGCCTCTTCATCATGTCCCCGCGGGCGAAGGAGGGGAACACTGGGGTCACGGTGGCGGTGGAGGAGAAGGTCTCGGAGCTGTGCCGCCGACGGCCCTGAGGGTTGGCCCGGATCACCTTGGCGGAGCAGTCGGGGTCAACTGGGGAGGAAGAGGTGCCCCCGAGCAGGAAGGCCCCAATGCATTCTGGGACACCCTGGTCCTCCAGAGAGAGCCTCCTCTCCCTGCTGCTCTGGCTGCTGGAGAGTTAGTCAGAAAAAAGCCTTTATTTTCATACTGGTCAAATAGGGTCAAACAGCAAATTTGTTTAAATACTTATTTAAAATAATACTTAAATATTAATTTTGATTATCAGACAATGTTGGCCTTTGCTTGTGATCAATCTAAGACTATTACAATTAATGACAATAAATGAAAACAGAAAGAACACAGATGCACATACCTTGCGGTGTTCTGAGGAACAAGCTGTGGTGGGGAGCTGGTCATCCCGAATGTCATCTCAGTGTAGTCGTTTTTCCCCTCGTCACAGAGGCCCTGAGATCCTTTCTCACCCTCCAGATGGTACACTCTGTCCTCTTCTGAGCACATAGATAACTCTGGGAGTGTGTCCAAGCGCTCAGCGGGAGTGTGTGCCTCCTTGGACGAGTGTGAACCCAGCTCCAGGTTCATGTAGTCTGACAGAGAGGACCTCCCGGGGCCCCCTCCGCTGGAGCCCAGTGATGAAGACTGGCTCTCCGTGGACACATTGGAGGGTGGGGAGAATCTGGCGCAGCTGAAGTCAATGTTGATGTATTCCCCGGGGCTCCTGGGTTCTCCGGGCAGGGGGTGCTCGTTCATGCTGGGCAGGGTCCTCAGGGTGTCCAGAGAAAGTCTGTTAGGCCTGCCAAGCCTCCCTCTGTAGGGCAGGCTGTCTGCCCGGCCATGCCTGACTGGGGAGGGCACGGAGGGGCTAAGAGGGGCTGCACTGGGCTGCATCACTGAATAATAGTCTGACTCCCCCACCCTCTGCCTCAAACTCTGGGGGCTCATCAACACATACTGGTTGCTCTCCTCATTCTTGGAGGCCTGGAGTTTAGCAGGGAGTGTGAGAGAGCCGCCCTGGTACGCTGACCTCACTGCTGCATGTTCCCCAGATAGCAGGCCCAAGTAGTAATCAGGGGGGGTCTGGAGTGGAGGTGGGTTTCCAGGCGACATGTTCATGTATTCACCGTTCCTGTCTAAGCTCTCCATGGACGATTTAGAGCTACACCACATTCTCATGTAGCCGCTGTCCTCCAGAGAGCTGCTGCAGGGGGAGTTGGTTTTGTAGCCGCCGCTCACAGTCGCCGGGGGATGGACCCTAGCGTTCACAATCTGCTTCGGTGCGGAGACACACATTGGGCTCATGGGCATGTAGTCTACTTTGCCAGACTGGGCCGTTAAGCCTGGCGTCATCGGCATGTAGCCATCATCAGCGAGGTTACTACTGGAGCTCCTGGATGACCCGATTTCAACATCTCCGTAGTCCTCAGGGTAGCACACTTTGGGCGACGCGGAGTGAGAGTTCTGCCCGTGAGCCATCCTCATGAGGGTGTAGTCATCCAGGGAGGCTGAGGCCAGCGGCGCCACAGCCCTCTGTTGACGTGGCGTGGTGAGGGAGTGCGTCCTCTTCCTGTAAGCGTTGTCACATGCAAGGCCATCAACCCCAACCCTAGGCCTGGTGACATTTCCCCCCTCCATTATCATGTAGCCACAGGGGTCGCTGATGTCCCGGGATGGAGGCGTGCTGGACAGGGAGTCGGGGGTGTCGCTGCGGGTCAGCGGGATGAATCTGGGTTCACTTGGGCTGGAGCTGTAATCATCACACAGCATGAAGCCAGTGTCACTGAGGGAGCCAGAGATGGAGGCGCTGCAGCTAAAAGGCCGCCGGATCTTGTCAGGAGTGGAGATGCTGGCCCCTCTGGGGGACATGCTTATGGGGCTTGAAGTGCCTGGGGGTGAGTTGGACACGGGCATGGAGCGGCTGTGGTGCAGGTTGGAGGAGGACTCCAGTATCCTGCAGGTGCGCCCACTGCTGAGCGTGTGGGACCTGATGAGGAGATTCCCAGAGTTGGGACTGGTGGGACTCCCGTTGACAGATATGGACATGGACACAGGCCGGGTCACACTCCCGTCCCCCTCGCTGGCCGTTCTTATCCGACATGATGTGAATTTCCTCCCTGGGGAGTTTGCTGCCATGCTATCTGTCCTGGATCTCCTCACCAGGCCTGTCTGACTGGGGGGGAGGTTGTTGAGGTTGCGTCGTGTGGGAACGGAAATGGGGTTAGTGCTGGCAGACTGGCTCTTGCTCCGCGGCCTGAACTCTGACAGCTCCTTCATGGCCTTCATGGCCTCAAGGATAGTCTCATGGATGTTCTGTGCAACCACTGAGTCCTCTGCCTGCATCCAGAACTCCCCAGGCCCAGTGACAGCTGAGCGACCCACCTCTATAAAGAAAAAGGTGTCCGAGTGTCCGCATCTCCTGATGTTCATGAGCTGTAAACTGACAGCAGCTGTTTCTGAGTTCAGTTTGACAAAGCTGATGGTCCTGCTGGACAAACACAGCCTGTACACTCCAGTGAGGTTCTTGATCTGACCCAGACCTTTGGATTTCAAGTTGACCTGCCACACCTCCTTATAGACAGCTGTTGCAGGAGTGATCAGTCCGTAGTTGGCTTCCTCAAAGCCCACTAGAGAGGAGGTAGAAGCAGGGCTGTCGTACACTTTCCCCTCGGCTATTAAATCAGTCAGAACCGAGTACCAGCTCTCTTGCTCCTGCTCGTTGTCTGCAGCCACGGCGAAGTACTCGTCCTTGGTGTAGAGGGCGATCAGGTGCTTGTGTTTTGCGTCGGCCCGTTTGTTTACGCACAGACACGAGTCCAAAGTGATGACCCGTTTGGCAGCGGACTTGTTCCTCCATTTCTTCTCGCTTTCATAATACTCCAGCCGCGCAGGGCAGCGCTCCGTCGGCTCCCGCAGCACGAAGAAGCGCCGGTGTCCGTGTTTCTGCTTCCTCAGGTATCCGCACTTCTTCACTCCGTACGTCCCATTCGATAACAGGTGTCCTCCCGTCGTCGGCGGACTTGCCATTTCTCTTTTTTCAAGTTCCAGATAAGCGAACCAATAAAAAAACTCGTTTGCAAAAAAACTTTAATGATATCCCGTTTTAAAAATGTGTTTAATCCATGGCAGAGGTCTATAGATGTGTCCTCGGCCACGGTAGAAGCAACAGTGCAGCGGGACTGATCTGATCCTGGATAAAAACAACATGTGACGCTGCTGCTCTAAAAACAGAATAAAACACAGAGTCATAGGGGGGCGGGGCCTCTGCAGGGGCCGTGCCTGTCCATCGACCGGCTCTGACGCTGCCTATTGGCTGATTCAATAATTCAAAGGCAGCAAACCCCGCCCACTGCTTTCCCAACAGCTCTCTCTTGTAGGAACCTATGGTAGGAACAGATATCAGAAAAACAACCAATTCCTGCGTTAAAAAATGAAAGTATATAGAGGGCTAATTTTATATATCTGTTTTACTGCAGTAGATTGAGTCCTCCATCAAACATTTTATTATTTTTACAATGTCATTGACAAGTCAATTTAGATTTATGAGGCTTTTAAATTATGTTGGATTGTAACCTTTTATTTATGAGGCTGTAAAAGTGTAAACAACCCTGACGTGCCATTTGTTATATATAAACCTTGTTGTGGTCTATATTTAAACCTGTGGGTATTCCTCCCCAACTGGATCCTCCTATCATCACATCAGCATCTCCCATCCTGCATGTGGTATATTGCTGTATGTTGTTAAATCAGCTGAAGGGAAGGGACCTTATTTTGTCAGTTATTTAATTATATTATACACTTGTTTTGCACTTTGGTGCATTGGTACAAAGTGTTTATTTTGAATGAAAAACAGTCATCTCACAGAGGAGATGACTAAAGATGTGCGTCAGAGGCTTCTGTGTCATAACACGCTGCAGAAATGCTGCCATCGTCTGGCTGCTCGCACATAACTCTTCCTACACATGAGTTTAGCAAAACAAACTAAACTTTGTTCCTTAGTTTAGATCATGAGCAGAGAAATGGATAACTGCAGACTGTTAAGGGGTCGGTCAGAAGTCAGGGGGAAGATAACAGACATCTGCTCATCAGATCATCTTGGTAATTATGTTACTAATTCTCCATGTGATCTTCAACATCATTAGTCAACTCATGTTGACCCCCTGCCCAAAAACACAAGGTTTGCTCTTTATAATCTCCCAGAAAGCAGATTACACCTCTATTGATGAGGTGTCAGTGTGCATTAGATGCTATAGCTGATGGGGGGCTTTAACTAGTTCTTAATGAGCATATAAAACACACATACTACAGATTAAGGGTAATCCCAGCCTTCTCTAATCACTATTGTCTGATTGTTTTTGTTGATGCCGGTGTGTGTGATCTGTGACATTCATCCAATGCCTATTTTTCTGTTTTTGCACAAGTGTTAATTTATCCGGGTTAAGCCAGGTTAGCATGTGTTTTCAGCATTAGTCTGAGATATGAACAAAAACACCTTCGCCGGGATTTAGTAACACATATATAAGCAGCCTGAGGGCAAAAACAAAGGAACAAAGGGCGTATTGTTGACACTTTACTGGCAAAGATGTGCAATCATTTGGCATATAATCTGAGAGAATACTGCTGAATGCCGAATACTGTTGTTTTGCGGGCACTATGTTTTGCAGGCAGTTCATGGGATGTTCAGTACTGATTCCCACAGGGTTTACTACAACACTAATCTGTGTTGTTCTGCGGTGATCTTTTATTTGTGATAATGTCCAGGTGTGCCATCTCAAAAAAACACGTGGCATTATCCTGGTTTGTTCACTCTTTTTCTAAACTGTGTGTACTGCAAGCTGATTTTGATACAAGTAAAAGAAGAACAGCTGCAATTAGGAGCTCATATCCTTTAAGGTTAATTTTCAGTATGGTAATAGTAGATATAGTTGTAATATTTGTAAAAGTGATAGCTGAAGAAGTAGTTGCCATAGCAGCAACGCAATGTTCAGTATTTGGCAGCTGTAAGGGGAGTTTAGCTGTGTTGTGATGAAAGTGTTTGTGCAGGGGGAGAGTCAAAGTGAAATGAAACTTGTTATTCAAATTAGGTTATTGGGTTTTCAAACTTTTACCCATTATGCAGTGCAACATCTGCAACACACCCACCCCACTCATAGTTAAGACTGGCAAATACACCCAGAGTAATACATATATAAATACAGTCTAAAGCTTCACCAAATATTCTGTCTCCTTTTGATTTCTGCCTCTTAACATTTAAAATACAGTGGTCACACCGAGTTCAAGTGTCCAACTACGACGTTTTCTAAAGATATTTCACTAATCTTGCAGTTATTACAAAATATACTATAAACCAAACAGGATAGAGAAAATGTAATTGTTAAAACATTGATATTTGCTAAGAGGCCATGTTCCTCATGTTTATTCAGTGTATTTGCTTGTAAAAGAACGTTTTTACAATGTTACAGTAGTGTAGATGAATACTGGTCAGGAAAAAAAGGTAGTTGAGGATTAGATTACCACTGGGATCCGGGATTAATGCTTCTTGTCACACAACAAAGCTGCTTTTCACTGTGTAAACACAGATCCGTGTACCAGGGGATCATGTCAGGGATATGTCAGCTCAGCACCAAAGGTTTCACGGGCTAACTGCTCTCAAGATCAAAGCACACATTGATTATTTTATGTCAATAAATCTGTTGAAGTTGTATTCTGAGTAACCAGTTTATGGTTCTGAACATATTTCTCCATGTAGTTTAATCTTTGTTTATCCAGTATAATGTTAAAAATCCCCAGGTCTAAATGTTTGATCAGTTAATCAAAGGTTTCAGCAACATATTTTACCTATAGGCACATTATTGTAATCAGTACTTGATTTTAAAGGATACACCGCAACATTGCAAATACTGCATGTCTGACATGACACAACACTGAACTCTAGTGGCACACAATAGCAACTGCAACCCTTAAACTCAAAATTGTATGATAGTCAAAATAATATACCATTTTTAATAATATCTTCAAAACGTTTTCCTTTTGACACAATTAACTCAACATGTTGATAGCCTTATTAAGAGAATTTTACACTCAATAATTTACAAAACTATAATGTGTTTTTTTTCATAAATGGCGAAGAAGATAACGAGAGCCATGCCTGTCGTTTGTGGATGTTAGTGATTTAATAAAATACAGTGAAGTCAATGAATTAAGTCTGTTGTGTCGCAGTTTGTGAATGATATTCAATTGAGAAGTCCGGACTGTTGACATGTACGCACAGGGATCTTATGTCACGTCACTTCCGTTTTCCCTTTCCTTGTGAAGTCAGCTAACATTACGCAGGCTATCTATTTCAAAAATAAAAGGCAAGCTAAGTTACGTCTTACATGTTTGTACTAAAAATGAAAAAGAACTACTGGTAAAATGTAACTATGCCCATAAAATAGTAAACTAAATACATTATTGTCTTTATAATGCTTCACGTGCTCTCAGACATGCGGTTTATTCGCTAACCTTTACGCTACGTTTTATTCCTTAACTTCCGGTTTAGTTTTTTTTTTTTTAAATGTAGTAGTTGTCTTGACGCCGCTCAGACAGGAGACCTAAGGAACCGACAATCATCTCTGGTTAGCAAATATAGGTTAGCACTCCGCTCATACAGACGAAAACATGGAGTCCGCTGTGGTGCTCTTTGTTTTAATGGTTGGCTCTGTATGTGGAGAAGCTGCAGCAGAAAAACAACTAGTATATGTGACTGTGGTGAGTACACATTATATGAAATATAACGATACGGAAGATGTGTTTAACTCTGCAGCGAGTTGCAACGAATCTCTTTAGCCACTTATGGAACTATTATTCAACATTTTTGAAGTTTTGTTTTTTCTTTGCTTTTCCTTGCAAATGCTTTTTAAATAATTCGGCTTATTAATAATCTACCTAGCAACCCTTAGTTTAGAAGAATAAGCTTCTTTTTTTGTTTGGTTTACAACTGCTTTCTTCTAATGCATTGCGACTACTAGGCTGACTCTTTGCAAAAGTACACATATAGCTATAATTTAACATAAAGCAATTTGAATTTGAGAATGTTTAAGTCTTCTCAAGGAATGTTAGAAACTGTCTAGCTGACACTTTAAATAAATCATTTGAGTTCTACTGAACTCTCATTCTAATTTTAGTTATTTGTGTTCTGTTGCATTTCAAACATATTTTGTCTATCCTGCAAGTTAAACCGGTTATTAAAACAACAATGTACATGAGCAATGGTCATTACTAGACAATCATCCTGTCAGGTTACTAGTCAGCTGTATTAAGAAAACCACACAGCTGATGTTAGCTACAGAATTGCTGATGCAGTTTGGTCAGAATGAAAACAATTTGATCATTTAGAAACTCTGCTTGGAAGTTTCTCTGATTCCTTTAAAAAAAGGCACATATTAGGAATCCAGTTATAAAGTATTTGCATGCATCTGCCAAGCCCTAAACCTGTCCACAGTTCACCTGGAAAAAATGCTTGTCCCCGTGGCAACCAAGGACACAGAAGATATTGTACTGACAGGGAAACAATGAGATACTCATGACGTCAATGCGAGAAGAACACATGCATGCAAAAGTGAAACTAGTGAGAAGAAAACATCTCGATGTGTGCTTAATCTCACTCCTGTCTATTTAGAAGGCAAATTAGTGAATTTGTTTTTTGTCATAAGCTCTTATTTCTCTATACTAGTGTGCAGGTTCTTTTTCCCACCCTCCATTTCTTGTTTTCTAGCGTTACAGACATGGAACCTGTCCCGGATGTGGGAATTCAAATAGCATTGGACTCGGTCAGGTTTTTCGTGTTAAGACATCAAGCATCTTGCTATGACGGTGTTAAAATATGTCAGCAGGTCCACATGAAGTTATGAAAGTAGTATTTGTTGACTGCCTTTAACAGACGTTTATATTTTTGCCCCCGGAGACCTAATTGCCTGCGAGGTAGCCACATCTAAAGTAGAAGAGATTAGTGGTCTTAAAGGGATAATCCACACTTCAAATAGAATTTACACTTTTTTAAAGCTATGTTGGACGGGAGGCATGCATCATGAGGAAACTAGAAACCACACTCCTCTGAGGCGGCTTGAAGATTGAAACTCGAAACTGTTCTACTTGAATAGACGCTTGATTTGGTGTCTTCCAGTAACAATGCTTTCAACCAAAACTAACAATTTGGTTTCAATGAGTTCTCTATTTAAAGGAGAAGTTATACGTGAATGAGCCATTTAAAAGAGAAAGCTCCCTGTTCTCACTCTTAGTATTGTCCTTGTTTCCTCCTATTGTTACAGTTACATTTTGTATCTGTTTGTTTTCACTCCTGAGTGGCAAGACATTCTCTGACAAACACTTGGCAAGACCGACCGTCAGCTGACTGGACTTTATCACAGCCAACCACGCAGTTCAAACAAGGACAAAGAGTTTATCTTGTGACATTTAAACTGATGGGGAAATTAGTGCTGTCTTTTGAGAAGCAATGTTGACTACAGATGCCATCACATTGTGAGAAATAGGGCCTATAATAGAGATCAATTCCAAACAAAATCACTTGAGGTAACTGAAAGTGAAATAAACGTAGATAGAAATTGTGCTGATGTCCTTGCTTATCACCCAATTAAAGTATGTTCCTTTCTTTCCATATAGAAAATACTGAATGATACGTCACATCTTTTGCCACAGAAAAAGTTTTGTTGTTGTTTTTTTGGGTGTTGTTGACATCTTGTCCTCCCTCTTCCAGTTGTTCCGGCATGGTGACAGGTCTCCAGTCAAAGCCTATCCTACAGACCCTTATCAAGAGGGCGACTGGCCACAAGGCTTTGGACAGTTATCACAGGTATGATGAATATTTCTGTCTATCCAACTGTTTGCATGGCATCTGCACCCATATTGTCTTGCACACTCTTTTTGCCTTTAAAACAATCTATTTCTATAGTTGAGTTATTTGAACCCCTTGTTATTGTCCCACTTGAGTCCCTATTTGTTCTGCAACAGTTTACAAGAGTTTATGTCGTGTCATCATGAATTCAGAAACACTCGTCGTCTCTGTTTTTAGGTGGGGATGAAGCAGCATTTTGAACTGGGCCAATTCCTGAGGAACCGATACAAAGGCTTCCTGAACGACTCCTACGACAGGAACCAGGTAACCTCTCCGCTGTCAGATGACATGGCACCATGGTCCCAGACACAATGAATCACATTGATATTGAGGAAGAGGGGCCCCTTGCCATGTGGGTGTTATACAGCGTTCCCACCGGAGCTGGAATTCAAGATGGAGGTGTTTTTCTTCTTGTCCTCAGATCCACGTTCGCAGTACGGACTACGATCGCACCCTGATGAGCGCTGAATCCAACCTGGCCGGTCAGCGAACTAACAGTAATTCTCTACGTAGTACTTTTCTTGCTTGTACTAACAGCCTCTTTCCCATCCTTCAGGTCTGTACCCCCCCGCTGGTCAGCAGGTCTTCAATCCAAATATGCCCTGGCAGCCGATACCTGTACACACAGTGCCAAAAAGTGAAGAGAGGGTATGTGTGTAGAGAAACAGGTTATCAGCGCTTCGCTCTAATTCACTTTGTCTAAACTTTGTGTCTTTTTTTTTTAGCTTCTCAATTACCCTCTGGATGACTGCCCTCGCTACGACCTGTTGATGAATGAAACTGAAAAAACGCAGGAATTCATCAATGTCACTTTGGCTTACCAGGTACAGGAATTCCAGGGTTGCATGTTGGGTTTTTATGATGAGTACAGAAGCCATGAGGCAATAAAGAGACAAATAAGTCCATTTCTATGTGACCTGGGAAGCACCACTACCCCTTATTTTTTTCCAAATTAGTAAAGTAAAATCATCATTTCTTTGGTTTTCTTCCTGGGGATTCTTAATTTCTCCATTATTTGAAACACAATATATATGTATATATTTTCCCCTACGTTATCGCATATTAAAAAAGATTGTCCTTTTACCTGTTTAGTCATAAACCGGCAAGAGATTTTCTTTAGGTACATTTTACCATACATACATTTTTATTGTGCCTCTCAGGGCTTCCGTAGAAATGCTTTAAACTGTTGTGAACCATACTGTGTTCTTCTCTACAGGATATTATAGACCTGGTGAAGAACAAAACAGGACTCAATAAGACTGATGTGGAGTCAGTCTGGAGCGTGTACGACACACTGTTCTGTGAGGTACACACACACACACACACACACACACACACACACACACACACACACACACACACACACACACCGTTGGAACACAATTGAGAAACACTTATGTACAAAATGATATAAGAACATGAACTAAAGGTAAACAAAATGAATGATAGCTAGCTTCACATCTTTATTATGAGAGATATTAGCAGGTTTCAATGAGCACACTTTCATTAAAGTTACTGAGTGAAGATGCCTTTTTCAGGAAGCTAACTAAAAAATAAATAAAAGCATCCTGTTATGCAAGACACAATGACAAGCCGTTTAGATTTCAACATTTTGAACAACAACAGTTTGTGTAAACTGCTGAGTTAGCTTACTGACCAAAACTGGTGTTGGTTTGTGACTTACTGGTCTTCATCAGTTTTAAAGGAACATGTTGGTTTAAGGAACAGAAGTGAGGAACTGGTATCGGTTTCACACTGGTGCTTTTGATCCTCGCGAAGTTCACAAAGGTCACTACTTTCTCACTAAACTCTTCTTAATTAAAGCTTTTAGTCATTGTTTGAATTTGTTTAATTAGCCACATCATTTTTTGTGCTTTTCATAATTCTCCTGTGTTTTTTGTGTGATTTCAGTCCCGTCACAACAAGTCTGCTCCTGATTGGGTGACTCCTGAAGTCATGGAGAAGCTCAAATGGCTCAAAGACTTTGGATTTCGGGTAAAAGAAGTCACAACACCAAGGTTTCCTTCTGGTCTAAATACTATTTTCTAGTCAAGGACTATTTCAATGTACTGATTGATTTTCACAGATCACATTTGGGGTCTACAAACAACAAGAAAAGAGCCGGCTGATGGGAGGTATGTGTGTTTATCTAGATCAGTGGTTCTCAAACTTTTTTCAATAATGTACCCCCTTTGAAAAATAAATTCAGCCAAGTAACCCCTGAGCAGCGCAAAAACTATTCCTTAGGGAAAAAAAGCCTTTATAAAGAGGTACAGTACAGCGCTGCACCATCAGTGTCTGATTTATTAAAACAACAACAACAACAACAACTGAGAAAAACTTAAATGCTACATTTCAAATTTTTACAATCCATCACTAAATTCATGGCAAACCAATTTTAACATCATGCAATAACACTGAGACGACATTAGTTGCATTGAACTGATCTTTTTAATAAGTTGTCCTTACAATGTAGTGAGAAACATGGGCTTGAGCTTCACTGAGGACCTTTGTCATTCTGACAGGGAGGCAGTTATTACACTTTGCTTTTTGAAATATGTGTAACTCTCTTAATATAAAACCCACACTGCTCAAACTTCGTTACTTTTCCTAAAATTGATATATTTGTTTATTTATTTATTTTGGGGTATGTTTATATGAGGGGTCAAAATACCATGCTCATAAAATGCTCATATTTGTTTTCTCTTCATTCCCCACGCCCCAAAATAAATAAATAAACAAATATATCAATTTTAGGAAAAGTAACGAAGTTTGAGCAGTGTGGGTTTTATATTAAGAGAGTTACACATATTTCAAAANAGCTGTGATCCGGAAGAGCTGTGTGTTCTCCGTCAGCAGCAGCTGATCTGATCTCTGATCTCTCGCTTATACTTCACTCGCGTTTATGTCCAAATCTATCAGATCTAGCTAGTTCCAGTTAATTATGTGACTGCCTGCTTCTCAAATTACCTAAACAATAAGTGTTGCTTGGCAACGGCGTGTGGCCTCAAAGTATAGCNAGAACACACAGCTCTTCCGGATCACAGCTCCCCCGCTGTGACGGACCGTTGAGCGTTGAGGTTTTCTTGAGAGTTAGACCTAACACACTTAGCTAGTTTATCTACTCTGGAACTAGCTAAACTAGTTCTACATATATGCATTCTTTACTGTCGGGTCACTTATTACAGGTTCAGCGGGCTGTCAGGAGAGGGAGAGGAAAAGAGAGCACCCCGTTTATTTTTCCCATTTTATTATCCAGAGTTACTGTAAACCTTTGAATTATGCATATGGATATACAAACTGCTGACTTTCTTCCAGGTATGCTATTGGGAGAAATAGTGAAGAAACTTTCAACAATAGCCGTCCCAGACCAGAGGCTGAAACTGATGATGCTGTCAGCGGTAGGAATCACTTCCTGTTTCCTCTTTATCCAGTCTTTGTGCCAAGCTAACCACACCGTATTGTTTTGTCTAATTCCTTTAATGTGTTCCTGTTCAACAGCACGACACCACGGTAGCTGCTCTTCAGGCCAGTCTGAATGTGTTCAACGGAAGACAGCCACCTTATGCTTCCTGTCATATAATTGAGCTTTACATGGAGAAAAGCGGGTAAAAAAACCTACCTTTTACGAACAGTGGAATAAATAGACGAGACTTACAAATACACAAACAAAAATGGTGATGTTTTAAGGTCTGTTAATGCGTCCAAACAGCTGATAGGGAAGATTACATGTATTTAAATGTGACATCACAGACAGTACAACTCTCCCTTTCTTTCCAGCTCTGCCTCTGTGTCCATGTTCTACCGGAACGACAGCACAGTGGAGCCGTACCCTCTTCAGATACCAGGCTGCTCTCTTGACTGCCCCCTAGATGACTTTGTGAGAATTACAAAGCTCTCCATTTCAGACGACAGAGACAAAGAGTGCCAACTGCCGTCAAAAGGGAGAGATACAGGTTAACACACACTAAAAACTGCTCATATAAAAATACAAAGATTGTTTGTGCCTCCGTTAATCCTCCATTCTCCATCTTCAGAGGTGATCATAAGTCTGGCGGTGTCTTGTTCTTTGCTCATCTTCCTCGTCGCCTTCCTCCTCGGAGTTATTTGTTGGCAGAAGGAGCCAATCAACAACCGGGGATACAGTCATGTCGTCAACCAGGACGTGGGAGATGAATCCTGACAGAAGCAAAAACTCCTTCCCCGGAGATTGGAAAGCCCGGCATCTTGGGGCAGCAGCGATGAAGAAGGACTTTGAACTCTTAAACTCCCGAGTGACCTTTCTGAAGGTTCGGGAGCCACAACAATTAAAATCTTTAAAGAGTGAGTTGTTGTCCAAAATGACCTGATTTTGTTGGGTCAGAGAGAGGAATTTAAATAAGATTTTAGGGAAGCACAGGTTTTAAAATGCCTCCCTGTCACTCTAAACTAACATGAGTGCTGAGAGACAGGCTGTTGGAGGGACCAGGACTGATTTCCACATCAAGAAAACACAGCAGGGAAAAGGGTCTGTGTTTTCCCATTGGGGTCTGATCTCCAATCAGCCAAATAAGCTCATATTTATACACATTTTCCCAAAATGTGCTCATACTGTCACTGCATCTGGGGTTTTTCAAGCATAGTGGGACTCGATTGGATGCAGAAAATAGTGGTACAGTTGTAATCTTAAATTATGTAATCATGCTTTTCTTCCTGGCTTGTCTAATATTTCTTAAAGACAGCCCCAATAATACCTAACCTGATGACGCCCAAGATGTTGACTAAAAAGGCAAAACATTTCTTAATACTGAATCCAGAATGTTTCCAGCCCTGGTCTGTTTCCAAAAAAGGATTACTTTTTGAATAGGAGGAATACATTTGTTTGAATGCACGTGTAATCCTAATGACCGTGATGCCTTAAATATTTTTAATTCTGGGTTGTGCATTTGTTTGGATGCCAAATATTTTTGTAGCATTTCACATTTTTGAGCAGCAGCTCGATGTTAAAAGTGTCACTTATCCAGAAAGAGCTGGTTTGAACAAATAATAGTCAAATAAAAATTGGGTGTAAACAAGAATCACATTTCATGATAATGTAAATTCAGCTTCACATAATATACATTTTTAAGGGGATACTAGAAACACTAGAGATCTTTACATGTGTGTGTCTTTGAATCTAGCTGCCTTTTTGTTTTATGTGTGTTTAATCATTTAAAAGAAATCTAATTTATTCCAAATGCAGGCTTGACAAGGATATTTCTTTTCAGGATTCTGGATATTTAATTAGGTTACATATTGTCAAAAATCATTGTTACATAAAACAAGATATTTACTGGAAAATCTATATATTATGATTTCAAATTTTGCCATAACAGTCATACGTCGGCCTACTCCGAGCTTTCTGTACGAAATTATTCATCAGACTTTGAGAATGTGTTGCTTGTTTAAAAAAATAAATGCTCAATCATTGCAAATGTTTGCAGAAACACAGCATAGTGAAACATGTGGATTCCTTTGCATCACGTGTGTCTCAGAGCAGAGATACACAGCCTGCCGTGTCTCGCAGTGATCGACCAGCTGCTGTCTCAACTTAATTTGGATGTTCCTTATAAACTTGTTAACTGTTAAACTCATGCACATGACTAGCATGTCTGTGCACAGTTATGGCAGTGATCACACTTGTACTCTGTGTGACACTGCCATGTCTGTGCACAGTTATGGCAGTGATCACACTTGTACTCTGTGTGACACTGCCAGGTAGAAAGGTTCATTTCCCCTATAACACTTTTACAGAACAACATTTGAAAAACGGGTTATTTTAATTTTCAAAACAGTGCAGTAGGCCTTTATTTAAACATGGTAGTGCTTTTCTTGCATACATCGTTAGTGATCTGTCAGGTTACATTCAATATGGCCACAGATAAAACAATCAATAACATGATGAACAAATCCTAACACAATCATCTCTGCCATTTTGAAGCAGATAGGGCGACATTTTTACATAAATGATATCACCTTGGGAAAAAAGGCTGACACTGAGATCTTGCACTCTGATGCATGCACTGCAGATGAGATTATTTCTGAAATAGGAGAACAGCTTCATTTCCATCGTATTTCAGTGTCCTGTGTTTTCTGATATGAAGTCAATGTTTGCTTGGTCATTTACAGATTGAGTTTCATGACAGCTGAAGTCTGTTTAAGTACCGTGATGTTGGGTCACATTTCTCTCATTCAGCTCTGTCTTGCACTAGCACAGATGCGTACACTGATTATCATCTTATAGCTGGGTCATATATGCCACAAATATTCCATCAAAGTGAAATATTGCTTACAGGCTGCAGTCTGACATGAAATTCAGAAGATTTAAGAGATAATGAACAATAGGAGAAAAAAAATAAACTATACAAATCTGTTAAACAATAAAAATATACATTTATAAAAGCAACCTTTAAAAACTGAAATGTAAGATCACACACATACAGTACGGACTCCAATATACATAGATTAGAAATCGATTAAGGTGACACACGAACCTTTAAAAATACATTATCCGATCGCTCTTGTGCAAAAATATTTTCCTTTAGGAACGAAACTATAAGACATGAATCAATGTGATGGCACATTGATATTTTCTTTCTCTAAGGGGATAAATATTAAAAGATAAAACACAGACGATGATTGGAGAACACGCATAAAACAAGTAACGCTTTTTTCTCTTAAGGTGAACTTTTTTCTATGTGCAAATTGTTGCTATGATATTTTCAACCTGGTAATGTACAATCCTAGGGCTCTTCCAATGTTGAATGCAGAATGATACTTTCATTTAAATGTCCTCAAAATGATAGTGCTACTGCCCAGTAGAATCTATGATATGTTTTTTAATCCCAAACATTCAGCACACCTGTTATAGGTTGTAATGTAGTTTCCATTGTATTATGAATGGGGAAGTAAACCTGGATTAAGCTGCTGTTTAAATAATCCAACAGCCCTGGCATGTTCTCGGAACCGAGCAAATTTAGTTAAAAGCCTGAGTCGGTCATTTAAGTCATCAGTTGAAACTGTTCCTCCGCCATTAACTTCTATAATAAATGTTAGATGTTACATTTTTCACACACTCATATTGATCAAGCTTGTGCTGTTGAGATTGACAATACCAAGCATTTGGATGCTACATACATCTCACTTTTGCAGCTGTAAGCAGTTTACATGGATGACACCTATGAACCCCGAAAAAAAACTGACCAGTATTTTTGATTCCATTATTACTGTAATAAGCCTTTTTTACACGTTAAACCAAAATCCAGTAGCCTACTGAGTAGGAAGGTTAAAGTCTTAAGCTTGCTAATGGTGTTATAATTCTGTGGCACCAAACCTAACAAGCACTGTTTGAAGAAAAGATAATTTGCCACCAACAAAATAATATTGCAAAGTATGTTATGGATAGATGAAAGTTTGATTTGTTTTTCTGCAATTCAGTTTTGATAGGTTTCTTTGTTTGAGTTTAAGCTAACTGTTAGAGGAGGCGATAAGGTAGCTCTCACTGCTACAACAGTCAATGGCAAATTGGCGACTGCTAATTCCTGTCAAACGTAACCAGACCTAAAAGGTAAGAAACAACATAAAATACCCTCTGTAGATGCATCTGTTTTTCATTGTCAGAGAAGCCTTATTAAGAATTAGTTTAAGCTAGCAGGCCAGAATCCTACACTGTTCTCTTCCTGCCAAATTACCCTTCTTTATGCTAAATGGCGATTGTATAATATGCATGCTGACTAAAAACAGTCATACAACTCTTTTGACAACCCAAATAACTCTTTGAATATATGTCAAGTCAATATAATGTCTGTGTGTTAAGAACTGTTGAACAACAGCCAATGGCAGCTTCCTCATTAGCCATGTTAGCTAGCCTGCTATATCGCTCTTGTCTGAGCAGAATGATATGTTCCATAATTGGATGCAATTTACAAGAAGATGATGAGGGCTATGATTATCTGGTCCCTAATGATTCCAATCTTGTGACTAAAACATTTAACAGAAAGAGTTTGGTCTTTGCGGTTTTAGGTCTATTAGACAGATTTATTGCTTAAACTCTGTTACACCTTTTCCAGTGTTTTATATCTGATCCAATTATGTAATTTAGAGACAGTAATGTCCTAAAAAAAAGGCCATGGCAAAACAACTCCCCAGCTACTGATGCCACCACATTTCGAACCAACTTTTAGGCCCAACTTGGTCCAAATCAATCCCTCAGAATATCATTCAAAAGTACCTGCAATGATGATCTGGGGAAGCTAAATGGTGACAGGAAATTGCTATTAGTCTTTTAAACTCTAACCCAGTTTAATTCTGTAGGGTGCAGAAATACGTTTATGACCCAGAGTAATAATTCTGTGGCGTTGAATGGTAGTTACTGTGATGGTGATGGTGGTAGTTGTTATTCTGCGGGGTGGAGTAATAGTTGTGATGTTGCGGGTTGTCACTCTGGATGTTTCCGTAGGCGAACAGCAGGGGGGCCGTAGAAGATGGCGCCTGCTGGGCGGTCCCGACGCCTGCTGTCAGTGTTCCATTGCATTGGATGGCGCCATACCAACTGGACGTACCCAGCTGGGGAGTATTGGAGAGAAGGCTGAGGAGAAATGTTGAACAAGAGATAGGAGAGGGAGGATAAGGATAAGAGGAATCAATCCAAAGTCATTTTGTCAGTAAGGGTATTGATTTTCCAATACAAAGCTTTAAAGACTATTTGTGCTTGGGTTATGCCTACCTGGCTCGATCACTCCTACTATTAATGCTTCTTGACAGGTCATCATCACTATCGTACCGTCTAGGATTGTCAAAGAAATAAGCTCTGGAGCTGAAACTGTGGCTGTTGATCATCCCTCCTGGAGCCTGGAGTTGATCAAAGTTCATTACACTTTACAGCTCTGAAAGGTCACAGTTTTGTACGACAGATTATTGCAGTTATTTGTATTTTGAACTTGTTATTTTACCAGGTTTTGGTTGGGTTTCTGGACTCTGAAGAAAACCACCACTAAACTTGTAGGTAGCAGCTCCCAGAAGAACAGAATGATCCCAAACACAATGTAGGCTTCACCGCTGATCTCTTGCACATCAGCCTGTAACACACATGAACATATTGCATAATGATATCATGGCTCTTGAGCACGGTTAACAAACAGAAAATATTGTATTTTATACATTTACACTTAGAACATTTTATACACATGTTGAGATATGGTACTCACAGCAGGTATACAGACAGATTCATGACATCATTCGTGACAGATTATATCCACACAGTAGGTGTCCAACACACACAAACAACCCCTCTTTGAAATGGGCTGTGTGTCTTAATTCCTGAGCCATGATGTAGGTCAGGAGGACACACACACTGGTGAGACTTGGTTTATTTTTAGCCAAACAAAGCCCTTTACCCCACTAAGCATTGCTTCCCCCAATCTCATAAAATGGATTGTCCACACACACAGGGCAGTGGGTGTCTGGCTCAAAACAAGCCTGTTTTCCAACACTTGGGGCAGTACCTGATCGGAAACGCTGAACCAGCCGTAGTTGAAGGGGTTGAGTCTGTCCTGCGGCGACAGGGCCACCACCACCAGGTTGTAGCAGGCTCTGGATGTGTACAGCAGGATCACCACGGCTCCTATGGCTGTAGCTTGACACACTGATGTACCCTGGGGGAAGATTACTGTGGTTATTATTACAAGACATGCATCAGCCGGCTGAAATTGGATGTCAGATATGGGCCACAGATGTGATCCACCAAATAAAAGAGGCCTCCCCGTGACAAACATGGCGGATTATAGGCCAGGAATTGAGTTTTGTAGGACATACATTTGAGACACCATTACCAAGAGCCGTAAACCGCACAATTTTCAAAAGTAACATGTACAAATGGCTCTATAACCTTAGGCTTGATCACCCTTTGTGCTCAGAGTGAACATAAAGGAAGCATAAAGTGATCTTGAGGATTTCTGATAGTGTGTGTCACTGTATACACTGTAAATGAGGTTTGACAATAACATACATCCGGGTAACAGCTAGTGTCTGGTATTTTTTATCATTAATACACAGAGATTTTCATGCTAACGCTGCTAATATCCAGATTATGTAGATTTACATGTTTCAAAATGGGATACAATAATAGATTCGTGTTTCCTAATACCTGCTACGAAAACACGCCATATATTATATATGTTATAACCATAACATACATTTTTACCGTGCTTTACTTGACTGACTTTTTTATAGAAAATGAAATATACTTTTTGTTAATGTTTGTTTATCCCTACCTTGGACTCGAGGTAAACATTAGCAGAGGACATTTTGGCGATCTTGAAGACGCAGACGGCCAGAGAGACGGCACACAGGACAAACAGACTGTCGTTGATCAGGACCCGGGCCAGCACCGCGTGTCTGATTCCCCCATCACTGCAGACATGGAGGTTTTTCAAGGTAAGCGGTTCTAAATGT